AGCCTAGCCACAAGGTGATTGAGATGTACCGCGTGCGTGGGCAGGCTCGTTTTGCGAGTATATGGGACACGATGTCTCAAATATGAGGGGTTTTGACTCCTACCGGCTCCTGACGCTATCCCTGGCAGCTCTAATGACCAGGATCAGTAGTGCTATGATAGAGGCTGCCCATACTAGCGCAGGAGCTGCCACACTCGCCCGGACCGTCCCCCTCTGGGGCCGGTTCCGCAGCCCGCGAGAGCCGACAGCGGGGCCGTGCCGCGGGTGCCTACTGCCGAGTGCCACAAACACTGCGCCGTCCCGCCACCACCTACAGGCTGTCTTGTGTGATGGTTGGGATGTCCAAACGCCACCATCTTGGCTCTTGCGACCTCAAACCCGCGAGCTGTATTGGTGGTCCTGACGGCGACAGACGCCCGAGGACCACGGTGAAGCTGAGCCGGAACGCGTCGACAAGTCTCGTCTGAGCCCGTGGCGGTCGCCGGCTGAGTCGCCGTACACGGGCCGGTACCTCAGGCGTCACCTCCGCAGCCTCAGGTCTCACACTCCACCACCTCCGCCAGGACGCCGTCGGTGGCACGCTCGGCGGCGAGTTTGTGGCAGCCCCACAGCGAGCGCGGCGTCGAGCCTAATCGGTCTGGTCGGTCGGCCGCACTCACCGGGTGCCAGGGAGTGCGGCCGACACTCGAGCGGTGCTTCCTGGCAGCGCGCGCCGGCTGTGGGGCTGCCACAAACTCGAGACACGCTTTTTTGGGACATTTTCGACGCTTTTGTCCCATATACTCGCAAAACATGCCGGCATTCCGACATGCGCACATCTCTCTGATGGGGCGCGCAAGCCGAGTCTGCAGAGCTGTCTGCGCGACGGGACTAGATTTGAGTGCTTGCGTTCATATGGGCGCGCCTCCCTCGCACCGTCCCCATCACCACCTCTCCTCACACCGGCAGTCGCGCCTTCGAGACGAAGCGGTCCGTGAAGGCGCGGATCGGCGGCAGCGCGAGCAGGTTTCCGACGACAGGCAAGTTTCGCAGGAAGCCAATCACAACGGGGAAGAAGTCCCCAAAGAGGTTGAGGAAGCCGAAGACCTCGACCGCCATCCCAAAGATGGGCCAGCCCACCAGCACGAGGAAGATGCCGCCCAAGAAGCAAGTCGTGCCCTTGGCCTGCCGGCGGCCGCGAGCCGGCGGCGCGTCAGCACGCGGGTGTGGAGGAGGGAGAGGCGGGATACGCGTCGGAGTGGAAGCGTGTGGGCGCGCCTTTCGCTTCTGGAAGAAGAAGCGGAAGACCCCTCGCGGCCCGATGATGAGCGACACGCCAGAGAGAAAGAGAATCTGCACGACGCGGAGCGAGTGGGAGCTTCACAGGTGGCTTCGGGCTCGGAGGTGGGGCAGAGGCGGGAGGCGGCCAACGCGCGTTTCCCATGGC